AAGATTTATGAATTGTTCGGCAAGTCTTGGGTTTCTTCGTACGCAAACACCGACTGTGTACTTTTTTGTAGACAGTAATCTGTATTTTTAATGGCTGTGGATCAAACTTTTAAACGTTGAGCGAAAAAATGGCGAGTTGAAACGCAAGGTATGTGAAGCAGTTCCATGAGATACTCTATCCAACAAAAAAACAACTGTTATGAAAAACCATCCCACTGAACAATTATCAATTTTCAAAGCTGAGCATTCAAAATCGGAAGAAACTTATGGACCAACCTAATAACAGAAAATTCATTTCTTTCATACCGGCGGGCCCGTCATTTCACTAGTTTCGAAATTTTCAAAAAACACATAAGGGGGACCCTTATGTGATTTTTTTTTTCGAGTTTTTTCGATCTTTTTTGATCAGACAGACAAACGATCCAAAAAACGACAAAAAAAATGGAAAAAATTATATTGAGAGCTCAAAATTTGGCTCAAAAATACAGAATTTTTGACACCGGGACTTGAAAATTTCCACAGGCCCGGGCTTTGGCGGGCAGGCCCGGAATTATACAAGTATGCTTTTCACAAAAAAAAATAGCCGAAAAAACATAGGCGGCTCAAACAGGAGTACGGTCTACAAAAAAGTACACAGTCGGTGTTTGCGTACAAAGAAACCCAAGAATCGCCGAACAATTCGCTAATTAAATTTTTTTCTCGCTCTCTGTACCTAAAACTTGTGCTTAAACTCCGATTTTCAGATGAAAATCGAAGAGGAAATCCTCCAACTAATGAATTATGTCGCTGAACGAACGAAACATGCCACATCGCCAATGAATCTCGCCCAAATTTGCCGAGATTTCGATGCGAAATTTCAGCCTTGTCTAACCTTAAGTTGTATAAATAAACGGTATTTATTGGGAAAATAACATACATTTTTACTGAAAATTCACTTAAGACTCCTCACAAATCGTCTAAAAATTCCGAAAATGCACAAGTTCGACATGGATACTAAAATTCAAATGATGTTCGCGTTGAGTGTTCCACTGGAGACGGGCTTTCTGGAAGAGTGATTATTGATTTTTATAATAAATTTTGACCTAATTATTGGAATTTAGGGTAAAAAATCACACAGAAATTCTGGAATTGGACTATCAAAATCGAATTTTAAAATATGAGAAAAAATCAATGGAAAATTTCAATTTTTCAAATCGATGGATCGATATTGCTAACAGATTGGATCCAGAAGAAAATGACGAAGAATTTATCGATTTTTTGAAGTTTTTATTCGAGAAAACTAAAAATTTAAAGGCTCCGATGGATTTAAAGGCTTTGGACCAGGGAAAAATTCGAAAAATCAAGGAGAAAATCGAAGAAATCGATGAATTTGAAATTTCCAAAAAAGCGGAAATCGCATTCTTATTGAGTGTTGAGATTTCTGAAAGATTTTTGAGAGAGTGAGAATTCAAAGCGGGAAATTTAAAAATTCAAAATTTTCAGACTTCGAGAATCAGCTGAAATTGTCGAAGTCGATGCTAAAAATCGGATTACAAAATATATAGCAAGAGATCTGAAATTCGAAGGAATTCATGAAAAATCGATAAATTCTAATTTGAAAAGACGATTGTCTAGTGATAAGGAGAATGTTCCAGCGGAGAAATTGGCTAGAAAATCGGAAATTTCAGAAGAATTAAGCCTAAAAGAGTTTTTGAGGAGCCTTCTACGGCCAATTCGAGCTCTGAATTCTGCAATGATGACACGTGTGGAATTCAGAATTGAGGCGATTTGTTTTGAAGAAGCAAACGATGATAAAGTACTTGATGATTTTGATTATTTTTGAATTTGGCGCCTTTTTTGAAATTTCCAAAATTTTTTTCAAAAAAAAACTTGAAATTTTCCGAATTTTTTTTGAAATTTCGAGTCGAAAAATCAATATTTGTTCCAGAAAATTCCAATAAAACGGATCCACGAGACACTGGTGTCCTCTCTTCGCCTTCTCACGACGCCTCCAGAATCCGAAAATTCAGAATCCACGCGTCTTTTTGATTTCCTCTATAACCTCGAAATCGCTATCCGTTTCATTCGTCATCCAATAATGGAGAGTTTTCAGAATAAAATGAAAAGACTGATTTTAGAACATGCTAATGATCAAGAGGTCTGAAAACCTCTTTTTTCAAAAAGAAAAATCGATATTTTTTTCAGGAAATCCCAATGATCAATGCTCGATCTGCGTTGGAAGCGATCATCGATGCTGTGATTAATGTGTGATTAATCAATTATAATTATGTTTTTTTTTCTTTATCATCGTTTTAATACATTTTCGAATAACACTGAATAATTCGAATTTGCGCTTAATTTTCAGAAAAGTACAGGATTTTTAATGGAAAAATAGGAAAATTTTCTGAAATTTCATTTTTTTTCAATTTTTTAACATGGAAATTTTGACAAGGGAGTTACTTGAGGGAGCAGGTTTAACTTTTTTTGAAATTTTGGGAGCAGATAGAAGAGCTTATGCGGATTCCAAATCTGTTTAAAAAATGCTCACGTGAGCTGAGTTATGACTTAGAAAAGTTACCCTATGATTAAGCAATTTCTCGTGAAATTTTTTTCACGGAATAGTGTATTTCTTTTAAAACAATAGATTTCAATCAGCAGTGTGGTAAAGTGGTAAAATGGCAAGTTCAGAGGAGGAAGGTTCTAGGTTCGATTGTCCCTATCCCAAAAATTTTGCAAAATTGTTTTTGTTTTATTTTAAGCTGCAATAACTGGCTCTGGAAAAATAAAATTTACGCAATCTAAACAAACAAAAAAAATTTCATCGAAAATTTCGTATGGGATTGACCACACAGGTCCTGGGCGATGATGCGCATAAAGGACCCGATCCATATGCGATCCTCTAGAAGTCCGTTTGACACATGTCACGAACAATGAGTCGCGATGAGTCTTATATGTGTGCGATGCGGGAGAGGCTGAATAGAGTGTTCCAAATGCGCGCGTATCCTAGATGGCTTCTGAGTGGGTGGGTGATATGTGGGATATGGGTCTGATACGGTAGGCCGCCTACAACACTCCGAAAATCCCGGATGTGCGCGTTGTTTAGCGTAAATCCACAATGCGAATTTTGTCAACTTTTTGTTCATTCGAGCCTGAATTTCTGATGTTTCTTAGGTAACCCTGTATCATGGTATTTGTAAACCCGGTATTTGGTAACCCGGTATCATGGTATTTGGTAACCCGGTATCATGGTATTTGGTAACAACCGTGCTACGTATTTAAAAAAATGACGATAGCCATTTCAAACTTATCATCTTGCGTTCTCTGTTTCCAAGAGGCTTTGAGTAGTGGATCCATAAAGTTTCCGGCATTGTTTAGAAAACATTTAGCTCAATTTTCTTTAAGGTCTAAACAAAATGTGATATTTATTAATGAAGGCTTATTTTAAATACAACAAACAAGTACACAGCTCACTTCTCTGATTCATTATCGTATTTACTAAATGTATTTTGAGATGGTCTCTTTCCCAATTGATCTCTAGCCTTTGCCGCTGATTTATTCTCCGATGGAAGTGGTGTCCAATCGTTTTCCTGCGTATCAGCCAGCGAATTTTTCTGCTCTTCAGCAAATTTCACCAACGATTTTGGCACATTTATATTCGTTTCTCCAGTTTTAGTCTCCAATGAAACTTCCTTCGATTCCTCTGTTTTCTTTCCCGTCTCCATTGTTTTCAAACTCTCATCACTTGTTGCTTTCTCATTTTCCAGTTGTTTTCTGACTGGAGTTGGAATCTCAACCGGTCCCTCCTTCTCTTTCTTTTTTGGTATTGGTTTTTCTACAATCAGCTTGTTTCTGGCATTATTTTTCTCAATAATCTTCAACTGTTCCTTGGATACCAAAGGTGTTGCAGTTACTGGTTCGGCAATGACCAACGGGGATTCTGGAGCGGGAGTTTCTGAAGTTCTCGGGGGAGAATCAGTTCCTTGAGCAGTCACTTCTTCATCGTAGGCAAATATTTTGCCAATTGCAGTTTGACCAACCATTTTCATATCGGCTTCGCGGGATTCCTGGAAATATGTAATTATTGTAAAACCTATGATAGAAGAGCTCAATACTGTCAAATTTTAGCTTATTTATCTCGGATTCTACATGAGCTATCTAAAATCTATCAACAGATAAAATTATTGTGATTTTATGATAAGTAATTTATCAGCTGGCAGTTGTTTAATATCTTTGAGAGGAACCGAGATAGAGAAGCTTTAATATAAAAGTCGGGGTGCAATTCTATTACTGATTTTACTGTAGTGGGAATTTAAAGAGACCCGGAAAAAGATGCACTAAAAGTATTGAAAAGGGGACATACTAAACTAGAACGACTGACGAACCACTACTAGTTAGATGAAAAAACCCGGAAAAACATTCTTACTGAAACGGTAAAATTAAAACTTAAGCTCACCTCTAAACAGAAGAACACCAAAACGATTCCAATCGAACAAAACACCAAATTGATGAAAAACAAAGCAGGCTCGTAGGTAAATTTCAGTGCTTGCTAAACAATTTTTCAAACTTTTCCTTCTATTCGCATTCTCTCTTACCGTCTCCGTTGCCAAAAGTGATCCAACCTTCATGCAAATATTAGCTATCGATCCGACAGTTGCTCGAACATCAGTTGGCATCAGCTCAACCAATGAAAGATAGGCAGCTTCTAGACAAATCGATTGGGATGCATAGGCGATTGTGTAGGCGGCTAGATACGTAAAGGACCCTTTCCAATTGAGGTATAGGCAGATTACAATAAGAATGTAGCAAATGATGGCAATGAGTTGAGAGAAGAGGAATAGAACACGACGACCCATTCCTGTTAGATACGGTTCTGTCATTCCAATTATCTGAGAAAAAAATTAATTGGTTTTTGTAAAATGTAGACTATCTTTAATCCCGGATTTTTCGAATTTTTCTGTTTTACACGGTTCAGATAAGTGATAAGAGTTCTCAAAAATTTAGTGCGTCTCTTACACGCTGGCGAAATAGTCTGTTTTCCAAAAATCTGATACTGTCCACTTTTGAGCCGATCAAAGTTAAAAGGCTTTTCTATTACCGGGGAGGAAAATTTAAGGGAAATGTGAGGATTTGAAATTTCAAACCTTTCCGAAAACTGGCTCGAAAATTAAAGATGTAAGACATGGCAACAATCAGAGTTTTCGAAAACGCTTGAATATTCTAAAACTGAGAAAACAAACAAAAAATAGAAAAACCAAACAAATGAAAAAAAGAGCTAAGGATTTAAAGTTGTAAAAAAAGGTCAAACATGGATGATTCGAAAACTTAAGACCTCAAGTGATATGTATTTTTGTCTACCTTTTGATAAACTATGAACAGTGCGTAACATAAGTATAAAGCCACCCCAAAATCTAGCTATAACTTTTTGAAATCGCAATTTTTCGAAAATATAAAACCAGAATCGTAATCATCATCCAAAATTACCCCATGAAAATGTTTTGGGTAATTTTATACTTAAAACTGACGGAATAACCGGACAAAAGCTGAAAAATCGGTTTCTGCAACCGTAACATAAGTTTAAAGCCACTTTAGGAATTAGTGGCTGGGCACCGGAAAAACGTGAAACCGGTCAACCAGGAACTGAAATTTAAGTAGCCTGTCACTATTCAGGTCATAATTTCTGAAATGGTTGATAACCGAAACTGAACAAGCCATTGATTTCTTGGTNCTGCTCACAAACACAAGAATAATCCAGGTAACTTGTGGGTACCATCCCTCCAAAAGCCATCTAGTGGCAAGCCAAAGTATCCCTCCAGTCCATTTTTTCATGCATCAAGTGTGTTAAAGTCCTTAAACTCCAGATGCCGTTGTATACTTTTGAATAACCAATGATCTGATAGAGCTGAATCAGGTCTTTAACGAGGGTAAAAGAGAACCGTCCAGCCAAAGTGGCTCAGGTGCGGCGTGACTTTACCTGCAGTCAAGTCAGACCTGAGCAGCTTCAGCGGGACCGTTCTCCCTCACCTACTTATAGTCCCGACTGAGCTCTATCAGATTATTGGATATTCGGAGAGATACAACCTCATCTAGAGAATACGAAAATTTGCACCATTTATGTGAAAAACAGGAAAAATGAATACTTTGATTCGCGGCTAGCTGGCTTTTGAAGGTATTGTCTCCACAAGTTATCTGAACATTGCCAACATGTCGTGGACCACGACGGTGCATACTGCTAATCTTGGATTAATCCTTCTTTTGTATTATTCACAAATAAAACAAGGGACGGTTACTTTCCTTCCAACCTAATAGAATGCTTAGAAGATACCTAATTCTAGAAAAGTATAGAATAATGTGTTAATAATTTGCCAATAAAATGGATTACAAACAACTACCAACAAAAAAGTACTTCGTTGAAACAGAAAATAGTTTTTTTGCTTTGTAAAGTTTTTATTTAACTGGTGAAATGATATACAGTGCATAAGTATAAAAATAAGTAACATAAGTATAAAGCCACCAAAAAATCTAGCTATAACTTTTTAAAATCGCAATTTTTCNAAAATATAAAACCAGAATCGTAATCATCATCCAAAATTACCCCACGAAAATGTTTTGGGTAATTTTATACTTAAAACTGACGGAATAACCGGACAAAAGCTGAAAAATCGGTTTCTGCAACCGTAACATAAGTTTAAAGCCACTTTAGGAATTAGTGGCTGGGCACCGGAAAAACGTGAAACCGGTCAACCAGGAACTGAAATTTAAGTAGCCTCTCACTATTCAGGTCACATTTCTGAAAAAATACTTTGCCTGGGTCCATCGGGTGGGTGCGAGCCGCCGTTTAAGGTCAGTTCCGGTTGAACCGTCTGGATTGTCAGCTGGAAGATCAGAAGTTCTTATTAGAAAATCTCTAGGGCCTCAATATCAGTCCAGTAGACATTTCCTAGGTTCACTAACTTTTTCGGGCCCACATGAAGTATCCAACCGTGTTTCCGGAACCATGAAAGAGTCAAGAAGCTTGCCAGTACACAAATTCTGGCAGTCAGCAGCCGCAGGCATCATGGTTGATAACCGAAACTGAGAAAGCAAGATGATAACG